GACTATACCATACTATACCAGACTATACCACCCCATACTACACCTTACTATACCATTAGCATGCTCTACCATATTTTGCATTGACATGCCATACTTTGCCATACTACAAGTAACCCTTACACTATGCGATACTATATCATACTATGCGTTACTTCACTGCCCCATGCCATACGATAACATGCCATGCCGTACCATCCCATAGTACTGTAGCCCATACCATATTCTACCAATACCTTACGAGGCCATTCAGTACCATGCTATACCATACTAGACCATACGCCACGACACGACACGATACGACACCATACCCAGAGAACCCCGTACCCCATAATTAAGGATTATGCCTTAAATTATAGAGGCCTGAGTATTATGATGTAGGGTATACTCCTTAATTAAGGGGTATTGGGATCTCTAGTACTACTATGACATTGGCCTTAAAGCTCCAGCTTTTCAGGCGACGTCTCTTCCAGGGGGGCAGATAATATAGGGGCTTCAATAGTTACCTATACTATTTTGGGGGGTTCCTTATTCTAGTTGCTAGTAATTACCTATACTATTCTGGGGGTTCCTTATTATAGTTGTAGAATAGTAGACCCCCCAAACCCTATTCAAACGATCAAGGCCTCTATACTAGATTTGGAGTCACCAGCCTCATTTAGAGGCCCTGGACGCAAACTACTCTTTGGGCCCCCAGCCTTATGAACCCCGCCCCTGGCAGCCTCGTATGTGTGTGTTTGTGCGTGAAGGATAGAGGCAGGATATGGAGATTGGGGCAGACTTCGGAGAGTTTCTGGTTGTCCGATGTCATTTCCGAGCAGAAGCCACAAGCCATAGGAAGTTGTGCTGAGCCCAAGTGGAACTACGGTTGATGGACGACAAAATCCTGCATTACCCATAAGACGGAATATACCATAGTTCCCATAGTTTAGTACCCCTAAGCTAAACAAACCCACATCCGTAACCCTAAACCCCAAAAATCCCGAACCCTAAACTCGAAACCCCAAATCCGTAACCCTATTTAGGGCCCCTAAGGTACTGCAGGATTTATCTCATCAACCGTAGCACGGCAGACTCTGGCATCTCCTGTCTCCGATCCCTCTGAAGCGAAGGGGGTGGTTGTCAAAATTATGGTCCCTTTTTGGGTCCTTAAGATAATACGCCACCTAATCTTTAGATTACCCAAAAAGGGACCACGATTTTGACCCCTAAACCCTAAACCGCCCAAGGAGCTAAAAGAGCCGGTAGTAAATGCCCCTACAGGGCCTCTTGAGGTATGGCTCGGAACCCAGAGAACCCAATATACCCCTTAGTTAAGGAATATACCTTAAGTTACAGAGGCCCTGAGTCTTATCATTTAAAGTATATATTCCTTAATAAGTTATAGAGGCTCTGAATCTCATGATTTAAAGTATATTCCTTATTCAAGGGGTATTGGGATCTCTGGGAATACCTCAGTCCTGGGTTCTAAGCCCGAAACTGCGCTGAGCACCACCAGCCTCAGGAAGGGTACGGCCTGGACCAGCTCGTTGTCCCTATTGTTGGACTTGGAGTGCCAGAAGGCCTATCTGCAATCTTGCGACCTCGAGCTTCAGGGACCAAGATGTTCAGCCGAAAGATAGGGAGATATACGTGCATGCATACCAACCCAGACACACACGCGCACACACACACAGACACACACAGACACAGACACAGACACAGACACAGACACAGACACAGACACAGACACAGACACAGACACAGACACAGACACAGACACAGACCACAGACACACAGAGACACACACACAGACACACACACAGACACAGACACAGACACAGACACAGAGACACACACACACGACACAGACACAGACACAGACACACAGACACACCAGACACACCCACCACACACAGACACAGACACAGACACACACACACAGACACAGACACAGACACACCACACACACACACACAGACACAGACACACAGACACACAGACACACAGACACACAGACCACAGACACACAGACACAGACACACAGACACACAGACACACTGACAGACAGACATACAGACAGACAGACAGAGACAGACAGACTCAGACAGACAGACAGAGACAGACAGAGACAGACAGAGACAGACAGAGACAGACAGAGACAGACAGAGACAGACAGAGACAGACAGAGACAGACAGAGACAGACAGAGACAGACAGAGACAGACAGAGACAGACAGAGACAGACAGAGACAGACAGACAGACAGAGACAGACAGAGACAGACAGAGACAGACAGAGACAGACAGAGACAGACAGAGACAGACAGAGACAGACAGAGACAGACAGAGACAGACAGAGACAGAGACAGAGACAGACAGAGACAGACAGAGAGAGACAGACAGAGACACAGAGACAGAGACAGACAGAGACAGACAGAGACAGACAGAGACAGACAGAGACAGACAGAGAGACAGACAGAGAGACAGAGAGAGACAGAGAGAGACAGAGAGAGACAGAGAGAGACAGAGAGACACACAGAGAGCGAGAGAACACAGAGAACAGAGAGACACAGAGAGACCAGAGGAGACACAGAGAACACAGAGAGAGAGAGACACAAGAGACACAGAGAGACAGAGAGAGAGACAGAGAGAGACAGACAGAGAGAGACAGAGAGAGAGAGAGAGACAGAGAGAGACAGAGAGAGACAGACAGACCGACAGACAGACAACAGACAGACAGACAGACAGACAACAGACAGACAGACAGACACAGACAGACAGACAGACAGACAGACAGACAGACAGACAGACAGACAGACAGACAGACAGACAGACAGACAGACAGACAGACAGACAGACAGACAGACAGACAGACAGACAGACAGACAGACAGACACACACACACACACAGACACACACACACACACACACACACACACACACACACTAAATCCTAAACCTAAAATTGGTCGTTCGGAGCCTAACCGAAGCCTCCCCACCGCCGCCCGTTGGGCGAGGTGAGAACGAACGTCATCACGCTCGCATCTGCCATCACAGGCTGTGAGAGGACACGGCCAGCTCAGAGATTTTGGGGCTTGCTCTGGGGCCTCCATTATCGAAGTAGGGTTTGGAAGTCGCTTACGTAAAAGTCTGGTATAGTCTAAGGGGACATTACTACGCATGGTTGACGGTTTGGGTTTACATCGGGGCGGCATGGGATCACGACTTGATGTAATTTCCGAGTGTCACATCTGCTCTGTACGGGACTATCCTTGCCTTCTCCCCGAAATATGCATTCTGCTGGATGAGGAACTGGAGCGCTCTAGGCTCTTAACCCTATGGCACGCAAAGGTCAAGTACCAGGTTCCGAAGGAGCGAAAGACAATCATTCTACGTATTGCCTAGAGGCCGTTTGCTACTAATCCTAATCAACCTCGTTTGAAACCCAAGCTGCGCGGATAGCAGCGACCAGGAGCCAGGGGGTAGACAAATAGCTGTGCACTATTTGACTAAGCCTTTGAGATTATACTTTGCTACAACAAGTGGTTAGATAGTGGTTAACTAGACCCGAAAGACCTCAGGATTATACATATATATATATATATATATAGATACAAGAAACACAGACGCACTAATATTGATTGTGTTCATAAGATCCCCAAAAGCATAACCTTTAGTGCCCCTAGCAAACCCGACAAATAGGCTCTTGCTGCTCTGCTGCGGGCGTGTGTTGGGAGTTTCAGGGCTTTCTTGGAGGGTCGGGGGACTTAAAGGGAACTCCAGAAAGTTGGAATATGGATTAATGGTAGGATCCCCTGTAATTTACCTTAAAGGGGTTAGGATAATCATATTCCAACTTTCTGGCTTTTACTCTAGTTTTCAGAACCAATGCGCCCCAATATCCATATTGAACGAGAGGATCCTTGCACAAGAACCCACCAAATAGTGGGGGTTTAGGGTTTACCTTAACCCTCAAGGGCCTACCTGTTTAAGGACTTCTATCAGGAAGTCATAATAAGGAACCCTGAACCTTAAAAAGGTAGGATATTCAGGGTTTAGGGTTTACTGTCACCATTCTACGAACCCCCCCGTCGCTTGCTGAAGGATCGGGCACTGGAGTGCCGGCGTCAGGCGCGGTTCGGATGTGGGTCATGTGGGAGTTTTCCAAAAATAGGGGACCCTCATATAGTACCCTTTATAGTAGGATCCTTATTATAAGGATCCCAAAATATGGTATCCCTAATTTCCGGAAACTCCCATGCCTACTTCGAAGCTTCCAAACCGTCCAAACCGAAAACTGCACGTCGACCAAAACCTCCTAAGCCCCAAACCCGACAGCCCTAAACGCTACACGGTTTAGGGTTTAGGGGTTTAGGGTTTAGGGTTTAGGGTTTAGGGGCTTTAAGCCCCAACTGAAACCCTCCAAGCCCCGCGTCACTCTTCACTTGGAGGGTCGGGGGACTTAGTAACTGGTTATTTTAGGGACTTATAAGTACCATAGCCCCAATTAGGGTCCCTTTTACGGTACTTATAAGTCTACTTACTAACTACTTACTAAGTCCCATGATCCTCCAAGGAAGCTTAGCCGCGTCCCTTGAGCTGTTTCAGGTTCTGGGCTTCCAGGACCTTCCCATACTTTGTACTTGGACCCTAATTGGGGTTATGATACTTATAAGTCCCGAAAATAACCAGTTACTAAGTCCCCCGACCCTCCAAGTAGGTATTGATGATGGTGCATATACAGAAGAAGGTCCTGTTATCGAAACTTGTCTTTAGAATAGCATGGTAATACTGCAATACTCTTATAGAAGCACGGTCACGCGATCATGCCACGTCATGCAAGGAGAGTGGAATGTTCCAGTACGATGATACTTTCGGGGAGTGTCTGAAGATAGTATACTGCATCTGGAAGTGGCGTTCAAGGCTGAAGCTTCTAGGCATCCGGGCTGAGCGCCAGGAGGGATATAAGTTCTACAGATCCACGTCGTTGCTTTAAGGAGTCTTCTTCTGCGGTTGACAACAGGATGACTCAGGAGGCTTCTGACAGTGACGCTGACGAACCTCTGCTGACAGTCGTTGGTGCTCGAGCTATCGCCTCCTGGACAGAGAGTGTCATCCCGCTGTGTAGAACCATGGCGGAGTACAAGTTGGCAGTGGATTCCAGCAAGAAGGCCACGGAGCTGCCGCTACTGAGGGTCTGTGGCACTGTGCAGCAGAATCCTCACATGCGCGCCTTCTGGGCCAGCACAATATCTTTCTTCCTTGCCTTCCTGGGCTGCTTCGTAAAAACCTACTACGACTCTGCAATCTTGTCACTTTCGAGGTTAGCTCGTGTCGACATTTAAGGTACACTGATAGCTGAACTCCTAGTTGCACACTGTTTAAGACGCAAAGGTTGGTTTGCCTTGGCGCCTTTAGGCCTCGAAGTTGCGACCAGCATGGGAACGTGCGAAAACCAGCTCTTCCCTCCCACGGATTTCCCAACACGACCAGCCTACCTGAAGTTCAAGAACCTGAAGAGTGGGCTGAGCTATTGCCAGTATGGGGTCGTCAAGGAGGACGGCAAACCGATCGATTGCCAAGACGTCCCCGGAGATGTGGTGAGCGGCGCCGGCTCAACCGCTGAGGAGAAGGAGAAGTACAGGCCCCAGGTTCTCGCAAAGTGCGTGTGCACCCCAGGCACAGAGTGCAAGTCCGTGATAGCGAACCTTTGTCACAGTTGGGTAACATTTTCGCATTTTTATGGGTACTTAAACCCAATAAGGACTAAGAACTTAAATTCTTAATCCTATCCCAAGCATGAACTAGGAACGCTGGCGTGGCCTCGGTTGCCTCGACCATCTTCGTGAGGGTAGCCTTGGGGACGCTTCTAGAGCGCTTTGGCCCCGTGACTTGGCAACAAGACCCACTTGCCGAACTTGCTAAGTCAATATTCATTACATTCATTTCAACAACCGGTCAGCACCCCAACACCAGCCATTGCCTGAGGTGAACGTTCAGTGCGGCTTGATGTCCTTCGGGGCTTTCTGGGTGGCCATGGCGGCCGCGATTACGGCTCCCTGGAACTACACGCTGATCCGCTTCTTCATAGGCCTTCGGGAGTGAAGTGGCCATAGTAGTCGTAGAGTAATATTAGCCATGTTGCGATAAACTTCTAATAATATTCGAATATATTGCACCCCCAGAAACAGGGTGGGAGGGTGGGAGGCCTGAGGAATGTTGAGACACTTGCGGTCAGGACCAGCAGTATTGGTGTTGTTACCAGAACGTGCTGCCTTAACAGTTTTTGTCAATTTCAGACCAGCGGAAGCGGGTTCTCATTGTCATTGATGTTCAATCTTGCACTTGCCGCTGATCCCTCTGTTATCATCAAGACTGTCGATATTCATATTACACTATTGTCACTGCCATATTCTTATCACCGCTGCTCAGAATAGCAAGTTACAATCAGTGCCAGTCTTGCTGCCGCCCTCCTCACGACCGCTGCCGCCGCCACCATCGCAACAACCACCACCTTGACCACCACGACAGCCACTATCGTTACCACCACCTGCTACTACTACTTCTGCTGCTGCTGCTGCTCCTGCTCCTGCTACTGCTACTGCTACCTGAGGCTTTTGTACTGCTACTGGTACTGCTACTGCTTTTCTTCTGCAACTGGTAGTGGTACCATTCTTTAGAGTAGCACTGCCCGTGTTACCAATATTTTGAACTCCCGCAAATTTGAAGTTACATTATCCTGATGGCAAACCTCGTTCTACTTTCATCCCTCGACATGGATGACTATACGTTCAGTGCTGGTACTGCCTCCCCCTTCCTTCGCCTGCCTTCCCTGTTCCGGCAGGCTGCGCTGGCGCCACTTTCGTGACCAATCAGTTCTGGTGCTCGCTGATGTTTGCACCCAACGTTGCCAGAGCTTGTTTCACATAGACTTGTTCTCCTTCTTTTCAATATTTCAGGCCCAAAGAGTGTGTAAACCGCTCTTTAACAACTGCAGGTTGTTGGCACGGCCAATGCCACTGCGGCCGGTTGGGGCAACCTGGGAGGCGGTGTAACCCAGCAGCTTGCACGCGCTTGACAAACTTTTCGGCACTTTGTTGTCGAATGCGGACATAGGTTGTCATACTTACTATATAAGTGGCCGAGGATTTTTATGATGTCCGTACTGTTCAACCCAATGGTGGCCTCCGGGATGGAGCCGAATGTCGCTTGGCGTGTCTCCATGGTGGTGCCAGCGGTCATGTTCGTGATTTGCGCCATCTGCATGAAGCTCATGATGCCCGGCCGATGTTTAAGATGTGGTTTGCTTTGCTTTGGCCGAGGTTGTTCGATAACTTGGCCGAACAAAAGCATCGCTAACCCAAGGTGCTGGGATATGCCCACGGCCCGCAACTACGATCCGGCCGTGACCGGCAAGACACAAAAGCCTTCGATGTGGGACTATGTCGAGGTGCTGCGTGACGTTCGCGTGGTGGTCATGATCTTCCAATATTCCGCATGCTTCGGCACGGATCCCCGTCTGCTCTGTTTAATTATTTCCGAGAAGATTTGTGCAATTGTAGCCGCTTTGAAGTCAGTAGTTCAAGATTTCACACCTTTGTTCTAGCATGGATAGTGGGAGCACACCCCTGTAAGCTTGCGTTTAAGAGTGGTTTTGTGCGTGTGTGTGCATGTGTTAAGAACTCGCAAAAAAGTGCTTGAGCTTGACGCCCATACCTTCCTTAATGTTCTACACGGATCACACGTGGGCTCCTGCCGTTACAAGTTTGCCGCGTGCGAGTTCAAGCATTCGCGTGAGGAACTCGCAATGAACAATCAGTTGGCTACGCACTTTCGGACGTACTTCCAGATGGATGCAGGCGCATGCGGTTCTGGTAGGAGTCAATTTGGAATCCGCTTCTCGATTCGAGTGGACACAGACTCGGATGTCGAAACCTGCGCGGCAGGTGATGCCAGCGCCCTGGCGGGTGCTTTCGGCCTCATGAACCTGTTCGCAAGATCACTGGGAGGCTGTGTTTTGAACTGAGGTCATTGGCGACTGTTAAGCTTGTGCTGTTGTTTGTTAGGCATTAGCAGCGACATTTGCTTCAAGTACTTTGGCTTCCGCGGCCGCATCTCGGACCCATTTGGTCACATGTTAGGGCTCGTTTTTTTGAGTGCAGAAGTGGAAGCTGCGGTCTTTCGACGAGACGAGGCATTTGGGCCCAATTCCTGGCACTCTTCTTCGAAGCCATCTTCTTGTTCAGCTTCGGAAAGGCCTGACGCAAGACAAAACTTGGGCGCTTTTCCTGCCAGCAAGCAGATGATGATGATGATGATGATGATGATGATGATGATGATGATGATGTTGTTGCTGATGATGATGATGATGACGGTGATGGTGGTGGTGGTGATGGTTCAGGTGGACAATTCGCAGCCTTGGTACGTGGCCTTGGCGGTCTTGGTTTGCTTCTCGCTCTTTGTGCAGATGGCTGAGGCGGGCCCCGCTCAACAAACCTTGAGGTATGCTGTTAGCAGGACAACTTTGGTGGGAATAGCCTTGCCGACTAGCCTCTGAGGGCACCTCCTACGGCATCGTGCCCTTTATGAACCGGAAACTTGGATCGGTGCATGGATCATGGCATCAATGCGTCTTTGTAGGAGGTTCCGACATGCACACGTAAGGAAGCAACTCGCAGTGGTGTCCGCGCTTGTGGGTGCCGGTGGAAACCTCGGCGCAGTGCCACCCGGCGGCAGGCATTCTTGAAACGGAGCGGAATGAGCCGGCAGATGATTTTGTTGTCTCCCAGATGAGGCATTCCCTGTCTCTCAAGAGGATTGATTGTTCAAGTCTGCCATGTAGAATCGCGTCACCCCAAATTACAGGACTGATAAGACTGGATCAGGATGATCAAGAGTATAGAGTGTCAGCAGTACAGAGCTGGAGCCCAGGATTGCAGGCTTCTGCTTCTACAAGCCGATCCAGGATGCCCTGCTGCCTTTCCAGGCAGGGTCGAAGTTCAAGACCGATGTCCGTCTTGGGGTTTGGGGTTGCTGCAGGGTCGCCGGTAAATTTTGAACATCCATGTAAATGGTGTAAGCGGCGCCGCACCACACACCGTCACTTGTGCCCTGGTGCAGCCTCGAAGTTGGCGTTTAGTCCCATGTACAAGCGTCATGCCCTCATCTGTTCGCGGACACTGTTCAATCTCGACGCCCAGCGCTGCTTTAGCAATCGTGGGACCCGCATGCTGGTAGCCAGACAGGCTTGTGAATCGTTACTCAGGGCCCTTAGGCTGGGCTCCTGCGTTGGACAGGTCCATGCGGGCTATGTTATGTTTTGGGCGCTGCTGAGCCCCTGCTACTACTGGTCCGAGATGGGTGGGATGTTCTATGGACCGGCACAGAGCGTCGAGAAGGCCAAGGGCTTCAAGACCAAAGCGGATCCTTCGGTTCTTTTTCGAGTTGAGACTGGCTTGGAGCTTCATAATCGTGGGTTCCTCAGGGTTACTACAAGGGATCTATAAGGGTTCTATAGTATAGTGGCCTTAAAAGTCATCGTGGGTTCAGGGTATGTGGAGATTCTGCACCATTTTCTTTCGGCAGGCCTGTCGGACAGTTTGGAGACGTAGGTATGTGGGCTGTCAGGGTTGAGTGGGCAGTGATTCAGTGGCAGCTGGCAGTCTGAGCTTTGCAGGGCAAGACCGGCGACTACGAGTCTCACGCGGTGTCCGAGGCCACCACTGCAGCCACCACTGAGACGAGCGTGTGAACTTTACAGGAGGCAAGTTGACCTTCGAGGTGAAAATCATTATGCTAATTCGATTGCTCGAGCCGGTTTTGTGTGGTCGGCCGGTGCCTTGGCATGGAGTGCAATGCACCGGCGAGTTCAGACAAGCCCGCCACTTGGCAACAGCCGTGCGCCGGGCCTGCCATCTTTGCATAGTGAGTGCCAAGCACATGACTTGGTGCGACCAGCAAACAGACACGGAAAATCTTCAGATGCGACCTCAGGACTAGCTAAAGTTGGGGGAACCCGCCATCCGAAATATTCTGGGTCGCCAGCCCTCTGCCACAAAGTTGGTGCAGTCACCGACAAGTTCTACTCTGGTGCTGCCTTGTTCTTGTTATTTGATGCGTTCATACCAGAAAGCCACAAGTTCTGCCTTGGCGCCAGCTGCCTTTCCTGCTGTGCTTGGCCTTTGGAAGAACCCGGCTTCTAGGGCTTCTGGTTTGGGATTCGGGGCACAGGGTTTGAGCCCCAAAGCGTGTTGTAATTCAGGATACGGACAAAGTAGCACTGTAGCACTCCTGCAGAATCATGCCGTGATACTGCGAAACGATGATACCGCCGTGCTGTTACGGTCGCAGAGGAAAAAATATGACAGAACGATGATACTTTTGTGGTGTGTCTCAAGATAGTATGCCGCGTGTGGAAGTGGCGTTCAAGGCTGCAGCCTAGATCTAGGTGTCCGGGCTGAGCGTCAGCAGGGATATAAGTCAAATGAGCAGATCTATAACAGATATATATATATATATATATATATATATATATATAGATCCATCTCGCTGCTTTAAAGAATGTTCTGCGGTTGACAACAAGACGACTCCGGAAACTTCTGACAGTGAGACCTGCGAACATGAGCGAACTCCTGCTCACAGTTGGTGCTCGAGCTACAGCCTCCTGGACAGAGAGTGTCATCCCGCTGTGTAGCACCATGGCGGAGTACAAGTTGGCAGTGGATTCCAGCAAGAAGGCCACCGAGCTGCCGCTACTGAGGGTCTGTGGCACTGTGCAGCAGAATCCTCACATGCGCGCCTTCTGGGCCAGCACAATATCTTTCTTCCTTGCCTTCCTGGGCTGCTTCGTAAAAACTTACTACGACTCTGCAATATTGTCACTTTCGAGGTTAGCTCGTGTCGACATTTAAGGTACACTGATAGCTGAACTCCTAGTTGCACACTGTTTAAGACGCCAAGGTTGGTTTGCCTTGGCGCCTTTAGGCCTCGAAGTTGCGACCAGCATGGGAACGTGCGAAAACCAGCTCTTCCCTCCCACGGACTTCCCAACACGACCAGCCTACCTGAAGTTCAAGAACCTGAAGAGTGGGCTGAGCTATTGCCAGTATGGGGTCGTCAAGGAGGACGGCAAACCGATCGATTGCCAAGACGTCCCCGGAGATGTGGTGAGCGGCGCCGGCTCAACCGCTGAGGAGAAGGAGAAGTACAGGCCCCAGGTGCTGGCAAAGTGTGTGTGCACCCCAGGCACAGAGTGCAAGTCCGTGATAGCGAACCTTTGTCACAGTTGGGTAACATTTTCGCATTTTTATGGGTACTTAAACCCAATAAGGACTAAGAACTTAAATTCTTAATCCTATCCCAAGCATGAACTAGGAACGCTGGCGTGGCCTCGGTTGCCTCGACCATCTTCGTGAGGGTAGCCTTGGGGACGCTTCTAGAGCGCTTTGGCCCCGTGACTTGGCAACAAGACCCACTTGCCGGACTTGCTAAGTCAATATTCATTACATTCATTTCAACAACCGGTCAGCACCCCAACACCAGCCATTGCCTGAGGTGAACGTTCAGTGCGGCTTGATGTCCTTCGGGGCTTTCTGGGTGGCCATGGCGGCCGCGATTACGGCTCCCTGGAACTACACGCTGATCCGCTTCTTCATAGGCCTTCGGGAGTGAAGTGGCCATAGTAGTCGTAGAGTAATATTAGCCATGTTGCGATAAACTTCTAATAAGATTCGAGTATATTGCACCCCCAGAAACAGGGTGGGAGGGTGGGAGGCCTGAGGAATGTTGAGACACTTGCGGTCAGGACCAGCAGTACTGGTGTTGTCACCAGAACGTGCTGCCTTAACAGTTTTTGTCAATTTCAGACCAGCGGAAGCGGGTTCTCATTGTCATTGATTTTCAATCTTGCACTTCCATATTCTTATCACCGCTGCTCAGAATAGCAAGTTACAATCAGTGCCAGTCTTGCTGCCGCCCTCCTCACGACCGCTGCCGCCGCCACCATCGCAACAACCACCACCTTGACCACCACGAAAGCCACTATCGTTACCACCACCTGCTACTACTACTTCTGCTGCTGCTGCTGCTCCTGCTCCTGCTACAGCTACTGCTACCTGAGGCTTTTGTACTGCTACTGGTACTGCTACTGCTTTGCTACTGCAACTGGTAGTGGTACCATTCTTTAGAGTAGCACTGCCCGTGTTACCAACATTTTGAACTCCCGCAAATTTGAAGTTACATTATTCTGATGGCAAACCTCGTTCTACTTTCATCCCTCGACATGGATGACTATACGTTCAGTGCTGGTACTGCCTCCCCCTTCCTTCGCCTGCCTTCCCTGTTCCGGCAGGCTGCGCTGGCGCCACTTTCGTGACCAATCAGTTCTGGTGCTCGCTGATGTTTGCACCCAACGTTGCCAGAGCTTGTTTCACATAGACTTGTTCTCCTTCTTTACAATATTTCAGGCCCAAAGAGTGTGTAAACCGCTCTTTAACAACTGCAGGTTGTTGGCACGGCCAACGCCACTGCGGCCGGTTGGGGCAACCTGGGAGGCGGTGTAACCCAGCAGCTTGCACGCGCTTGACAAACTTTTCGGCACTTTGTTGTCGAATGCGGACATAGGTTGTCATACTTACTATATAAGTGGCCGAGGATTTTTATGATGTCCGTACTGTTCAACCCAATGGTGGCCTCCGGGATGGAGCCGAATGTCGCTTGGCGTGTCTCCATGGTGGTGCCAGCGGTCATGTTCGTGATTTGCGCCATCTGCATGAAGCTCATGATGCCCGGCCGATTTTTAAGATGTGGTTTGCTTTGCTTTGGCCGAGGTTGTTCGATAACTTGGCCGAACAAAAGCATCGCTAACCCAAGGTGCTGGGATATGCCCACGGCCCGCAACTACGATCCGGCCGTGACCGGCAAGACACAAAAGCCTTCGATGTGGGACTATGTCGAGGTGCTGCGTGACGTTCGCGTCGTGGTCATGATCTTCCAATATTCCGCATGCTTCGGCACGGATCCCCGTCTGCTCTGTTTAATTATTTCCGAGAAGATTTGTGCAATTGTAGCCGCTTTGAAGTCAGTAGTTCAAGATTTCACACCTTTGTTCTAGCATGGATAGTGGGAGCACACCCCTGTAAGCTTGCGTTTAAGGGTGGTTTTGTGCGCGTGTGTGCATGTGTTAAGAACTCGCAAAAAAGTGCTTGAGCTTGACGCCCATACCTTGCTTAATGTTCTACACGGATCACACGTGGGCTCCTGCCGTTACAAGTTTGCCGCGTGTGAGGAACTCGCAATGAACAATCAGTTGGCTACGCACTTTCGGACGTACTTCCAGATGGATGCAGGCGCATGCGGTTCTGGTAGGAGTCAATTTGGAATCCGCTTCTCGATTCGAGTGGACACAGACTCGAATGTCGAAACCTGCGCGACAGGTGATGCCAGCGCCCTGGCGGGTGCTTTCGGCCTCATGAACCTGTTCGCAAGATCACTGGGAGGCTGTGTTTTGAACTGAGGTCATTGGCGACTGTTAAGCTTGTGCTGTTGTTTGTTAGGCATTAGCAGCGACATTTGCTTCAAGTACTTTGGCTTCCGCGGCCGCATCTCGGACCCATTTGGTCACATGTTAGGGCTCGTTTTTTTTTTTTGAGTGCAGAAGTGGAAGCTGCGGTCTTTCGACGAGACGAGGCATTTGGGCCCAATTCCTGGCACTTTTCTTCGAAGCCATCTTCTTGTTCAGCTTCGGAAAGGCCTGACGCAAGACAAAACTTGGGCGCTTTTCCTGCCAGCAAGCAGATGATGACGATGATGACGATGATGACGATGATGATGATGTTGCTGATGATGATGATGATGACGGTGATGGTGGTGGTGATGGTTCAGGTGGACAATTCGCAGCCTTGGTACGTGGCCTTGGCGGTCTTGGTTTGCTTCTCGCTCTTTGTGCAGATGGCTGAGGCGGGCCCCGCTCAACAAACCTTGAGGTATGCTGTTAGCAGGACAACTTTGGTGGGAATAGCCTTGCCGACTAGCCTCTGAGGGCACCTCCTACGGCATCGTGCCCTTTATGAACCGGAAACTTGGATCGGTGCATGGATCATGGCATCAATGCGTCTTTGTAGGAGGTTCCGACATGCACACGTAAGGAAGCAACTCGCAGTGGTGTCCGCGCTTGTGGGTGCCGGTGGAAACCTCGGCGCAGTGCCACCCGGCGGCAGGCATTCTTGATCCGGAACGGAATGAGCCGGCAGATGATTTTGTTGTCCCCCAGATGAGGCATTCCCTGTCTGTCAAGAGGATTGATTGTTCAAGTCTGCCATGTAGAATCGCGTCACCCCAAATTACAGGACTGATAAGACTGGATCAGGATGATCAAGAGTATAATAGAGTGTCAGCAGTACAGAGCTGGAGCCCAGGATTGCAGGCTTCTGCTTCTACAAGCCGATCCAGGATGCCCTGCTGCCTTTCCAGGCAGGGTCGAAGTTCAAGACCGATGTCCGTCTTGGGGTTTGGGGTTGCTGCAGGGTCGCCGGTAAATTTTGAACATCCATGTAAATGGTGTAAGCGGCGCCGCACCACACACCGTCACTTGTGCCCTGGTGCAGCCTCGAAGTTGGCTTTTAGTCCCATGTACAAGCGTCATGCCCTCATCTGTTCGCGGACACTGTTCAATCTCGACACCCAGCGCTGCTTTAGCAATCGTGGGACCCGCATGCTGGTAGCCAGACAGGCTTGTGAATCGTTACTCAGGGCCCTTAGGCTGGGCTCCTGCGTTGGACAGGTCCATGCGGGCTATGTTATGTTTTGGGCGCTGCTGAGCCCCTGCTACTACTGGTCCGAGATGGGTGGGATGTTCTATGGACCGGCACAGAGCGTCGAGAAGGCCAAGGGCTTCAAGACCAAAGCGGATCCTTCGGTTCTTTTTCGAGTTGAGACTGGCTTGGAGCTTCATAATCGTGGGTTGCTCAGGGTTCCTGCAAGGGATCTATAAGGGTTCTATAGTATAGTCGCCTTAATAATCATCGTGGGTTCAGGGTATGTGGAGATTCTGCACCATTTTCTTTCGGCAGGCCTGTAGGACAGTTTGGAGACGTAGGTATGTGGGCTGTCAGGGTTGAGTGGGCAGTGATTCAGTGGCAGCTGGCAGTCTGAGCTTTGCAGGGCAAGACCGGCGACTACGAGTCTCACGCGGTGTCCGAGGCCACCACTGCAGCCACCACTGAGACGAGCGTGTGACAATTACAGGAGGCAGTTTGACTTTCGAGGTGAAAATCATTATGCTAATTCGATTGCTCGAGCCGGTTTTGTGTGGTCGGCCGGTGCCTTGGCATGGAGTGCAATGCACCGGCGAGTTCAGACAAGCCCGCCACTTGGCAACAGCCGTGCGCCGGGCCTGCCATCTTTGCATAGTGAGTGCCAAGCACATGACTTGGTGCGACCAGCAAACAGACACAGAAAATCTGCATATGTAGACAGGGTTCCTAGTGAAGTCCCGATAAGGGAGGGTCAAGCACATATTTGCGGGGCCACGGCCGTCAGCATCCGGGCAGTTTGGCCCCGAATCTCAAGGCCAAGCGGCTTGGTAGCTATAGCATCAAGTCAATGGCGCAAGCTTATTGGGGTTGGTATTTTGCAACTTCGGTTTCGGCGAGCCGACTGCTTGTGCCCAACAAACTCGTCATGCCCAGTTGCCAGGCTTCTCGACGACATGCATTGCAGATGGGTGGAGAGAAGCTTGCTGGCACTTGCAGCCTTTCATAGAAATTTACATTAGGCCCCAATTCTCTTATCGCGCTGAAATCCGCAGCTCGAAACCGAGGTTTGGGGTTAAATGCGCAGGTGGAACAACTAGCGGTTGTATTGTACCCCGAATAATTAGCAACCTTCTAACTCCGTGATAATCATACTATGTTATACCTTCCACGTGTCTTGACCCTCGCGCCAGGGAGAAGCCCTAAGCCTTAAACTCAATTCGCTCGTCAGAGCTGGAGTTTGCAAAGGATGTGACTCCCCACGTGTTGCTTTTGATGTACCGTTCCAAAGTGTTTAGGGTTCAGGGTTTAGCGTTTAGGGTTCAGAACAAGGATGTGGGATATGACTTTGTACAGGTACATGAAGGAAGTGAAGTATGTAATGAGGCTTTTGTTCTGCTTTATTAGGATCCTTCTGAGATCGTTTGTCGCCGGGGCGACATATCCTCTTTGCGACCCTGAAAGGGATTCGTCTTAACGTTACTTGGAGGGTCGGGGGACTTAGTAACTGGTTGTTTTAGGGACTTATAAGTACCATAACCCCAATTCGGGTCCCTTTTAGGGTACTTATAAGTCTACTACTAACTACTTACTAAGCCCCCCGACCCCAGGCCATAAACCCAAAACATTAAACATCCATAAACCCTAAACATCCCCAAATCCCTAAACATCCCTACGCCCTAAACATCCTTAAACCCTGAACCCTAAACATCTTCGAGACCATCTTGAGGCAACCTGATCGCCCACTGTGCCGCGATCTCGGGAAGCGAGAAGGGTCGAGAGTGGAAGGCTCGGTTCTGGGGCAGTTGAGCCGTTTTTGATCGAGAAAGGGTTCCTTTAAAAGGGATCTATAAGGGTTCCTTTAAAGGGATCTATAAGGGTTCTACTATAAAGGGTTTAGGGTTTGGGAGTTTCCGAAATTAAGGGATACAGTATTTTGGGTTCCTCATAATAAGGATCCTACTATTTAGGATACCATATTAGGGTCCCCTATTTGCGGAAACTCCCAAATTAGGGGGGTTAAGTTTTCAGGGCTTCATAAGGGTCTGACTTTTTTAATTAGTGGCGTTTAAGGGTTTTCAACAGTGTTATAAAGGTGTTATAAGGGTTTGCACAGAAGGGGCTTACAGGGTTTACTCTTGGTACCTTTGAAAGTGTTTCAACTTAGACATGTACTAAGGGCCGCAATAAGGGTTTTGGAACGGGTGTTGTAGGGTTTACAATTGGCACTCTTTGAAATTTGGCAGTAGGGACTTGATCGCCAGGATGGGGTTTATGGTCCAGGGGTAAAGGTTTGGTTCAGGGTTACCTAGAGCCCCCAAAGTAGGTAAAGGAATGGCCCAAAACCTATAAAAGGCTACGATTCTACATACTTTTGCGGTCCAGGTCCTAAACCCTAAATCCTAAACCGTGGATCCTTTGGGCTACTTTGGCTTTGCTAGGTAACCCTAAAGGCCCCAACATCCTAAACCCTAACCAACCCCTAAAACCCTAAAACCCTAAACCCAAAACCCTAAACCCCTTATGGATCCTTTGGGTTCCTTGCACCTTGGTAGGTAACCCTACAGACCCTAAAATCCTAAACCCTAAACTAAGTCAGAGAAAACAGAACCTTAAGCCCCTGATGTTGGATCCTTTGGGTGACTTTAGGTAACCCTAAAAGACCCCAAAGGCCCCTAAACCCTAAAGTCTTAAAGCCCCTAAACCCCTAAGGCCCTAATCCGCTTATTTATGGATCCTTTGGGTTACTTTTGGCTTTGCTTTTGGTGGCCCTAGAGACCCCCACTCAGTAACAGTTGAATAATATTCATAAAAGAGATATAGTAGGACTTTTATAGTGGCCCTATTATAGACTCTTGCTGTATGGGGCCGTACCTAAGGTAACCCTGTAACCCCTAACCCCTAAAACCCTAAACTCCTAACACCTGAAACCCCTAAAGCCCTAGGTTCCTTGGGCTTTCCTAGGTAAAACAACCCTAAACCCTAAACCCTAAACCCTAAAATCCTAAACTCCTAACACCCTAAAGCCCCTGAAACCCCTAAAGCCCTAGTTTCCTTGGGCTTTCCTAGGTAAAACAACCCTAAACCCTAAACCCTAAAACCCTAAACTCCTAACACCTGAAACCCCTAAAACCCTAAACTCCTAACACCCTAAAGCCCCTGAAACCCCTAAAGCCCTAAAGGCCCCAAGGCTCTTGAAACGTCCCTTTCGAAGGCAGCCTTGGCCTTGCTGGATGCTTGGGAGATGCAGGGCCGCCCCCTGCAAGCGCCTCGATTTTTGAAAAAAATATAAACTCATATATATATATATATATACATATTTATATATATATATATATACCCTAGGCTTCCAAAGGCTCGGTTTAACGGGTGCGCCTAAGTAAAGGACGCCAGACACTGAACGACCGCATTTAACTCAAGCTACTGTTTCTTATGTTTACACTTTCCAGGGCATGTCGTTTCGGATTTAAGATTTTTTGGGATTTAGGATTGGTGGTGGCTTTGATTGCGGGCCCGATATATGATCCCTATCACAGCATATCAGCAGCGGCAGCAGCGCTGACGACCAGATCGCCATCCGGTGCGCCTTTTTAGCTTCTGCATGCGGCGTTCCGGTTTAGGGCGGCCATCCTTTCGGGTCTTCTCAGCGATGCAAGCCGGAATCTGGCCACGGTAATCACGGATTTTTCGAATCCTTTTCGGTCCGCCTTCTGAGCGACTCCTGGGATGAGATGGTTTGGGCACAACATGAATAATCTTTCGTTCTGCTAGGTACAGGGCGAGATTACGGGATTTAGTGCAGCCGTGGCACCCTTGAGCCACCGCATAGCATCTTCTTCTCTGAACGTGTGGTGCAGTCTCGTATTCAATCCTGGATTTCGGAGAATTTATTGCAATACAGAAGATTCAACAGCAGCACCCCGAGTTCAAGCTTCCACAAACTGCTTCAGCCAAGAATCGTCTATTTCTGACATCCACCAGCTGGTGGTGAAAGGGCTTGGCAGGGAAACGGCACAGTGTATGACATTGAAATGCATCTGCAGAATCGCACTCGCTTAATTGCAGTCAAAACTCATGGACCTTTGGCCGAATTTGCCAATGGAGCTTCTGGAGCCTTTCAGGGGTTACTTCTCTTGTCTAAGTACATTGGAGTACCGATCACAGCAACCCGGTGATGCCTCATAGACATCTTGCACAGAAGTGCGTGGTAGCGGAGGTATCGCATGCCGTGATGATAAATCTCGTCCGCCTGTTGTGCAGACCTCAAATGAAAGTGCATCGAAGACTTCCCCAACACTGAAACCTAGTATCCCGAAACCTTTCAAAAATGTCTGGCAACCAGCACCCGAGCGGCAGGTATATGGGGCTTTTCTCCACGGAGATGAACCATTGGCATAGCGATTGCCTGAGAATATCGGGGTTTCTTGGGTTTCGGCTGGGTGTAGAAAAGGAGCTGATTGGGTTGTTTTCTGCTTCAGGTTGGAACTCAAAATGATACAGAAAGTTAAAACCAATAGCTTCAAGAATCATTGCTGCACATATCGGGGCGAATCGCTCATCGTCGCCGTCAGGCCATGGGATCCCCTGTGCTGCATTCCTTTCCTGTAGCCATCGCCCAAACTCACGGCCGTTGCTGATGCAGTGCCGTGCCGCCCTTTCCATACAATCGCCCAACCACATCGTAATCACTCTACCGTTGTAGCCCTTGTGCGACATGTGGGCTCCATGCTTGTCAGGCTTCCATACCTAGGCTTGACAAAGCATGTTGTCAGTTCAGTTGCAGCATCCATTAATTCAAAGGAGTTATTTTGGCAGGCTATCTAATGCAATGCAGTGACAAAGTTCGGCACAAACTTGCCTTGGGAACAGACCAAGCCTCGCTCCTTCTGGAAAGCTTTGAAGTCGCGGTAGGCAACTACCAAAAGCTTGTGCAACGAGTTGACATCAGGATTCGGGTCTCCGAAGTAACCGTTCTCAACCAGAAACATCCTCGACAGGTAGGGGCATCCGACACACGTAAACATGGTATAGATCTACCTGCTTGTGATCCAAACCACAATCGGGCCAAAGAGCAACGTAGATCCGTTGGCATCTTGTGCCACTCCAAGGTTGATATTGTGTAGGCTGCAATGACACAGCATCGTGAAATCAAAGCATCGAAGCCCCAAGAACGGACCTCCAGGAACAAACAAACTCAACCAGATTGCTCAGTAGTTACTGTAGTATTCGATCCAAACTAGGCAAGGAGTAACAAAGTAGAAACCATATGAAAGCCTACATAGGTGCTGGCAAAAGCACAGATGTGATTTTCTCGCATACCATGCACCACGAAGTGATGGTGCGAATGCTGTGTTTGGGCCCAGGAAGGGGCCTCTGAAAAGTCGACGATGGAGTGCCGGGCTTGGTGGTGATTTTCGGCTTCGCATCGCCAACAAACCCACCTAGTCTTCCACCACCGATTGAGCCTCCAGGTATGATAGTGGTATTCCCAGTCCCCCTTGAATTGTGTAACGACAAACTTCTTGCTCAACTTGTTTCCCTCAGGGGTCAAACCATCGAAGGCAGCATTCAGACATTGCACAATTGCAGAGTACAAGGGGTTGTGGCTTTTCCAGCCCAGACTGAGCTCGCTTTCAAGGTTCCATAACAACCACTGGCTCATCCGTGTAGATTTGGGTCGCCACAGCACAATACTCATAAAGCAACCTGTGACTTTGCTTTGATCATAGCCTGTGCCATATCTGGCGGTATCACCGTAAAGTGTTAGGGGGATGTGGCTTCCATCGAGCTCGTCATTGGCAGCCCACGGGCAAAATTGTTTGACATGAGACCAGTACTTTTGCAAAGCACCTGCGGGGATCTCCAGACCCAAATCATCAATCAGATATGCAAGTATGCGATGAGGAGGCAATATGGGAACCTTGACAGTTACTTCTTCTTCCGAATCGTGTTTTGCCTTGACAACCGTCTCCACATAAATGGGCTCCTGCTTTCTAGCTTCTTACAGACTCAAAAAGCGGGTGCACCGGGGATCGGGATTGGAGTAGGGTTTTAAAGGTTTGGGTAGTGGAGGATTATTCAATAAGGTTGCAACGGGCAGTGGTATTTAATGCAATTGTTTGCGAACCGGGCACCACGGGAAGCCGAATAGATCGCTTGAAGTCTCGAGCATTGTTTCGCCCACTGAAGGAACCCATCTTGAGCAGCGGTGCAGGCAGAGCGGCAGAGGCTGCGTCCTTGGCTAGAGGGTTGTGGGGTTTAGTCCCGGGCATATGTCGGGGGCTTTGATCATGTGCTTAAGTGATGATAAGATTAGAATATGAGGCTGGTTTTGGGTTTACTTTGGGATGGTAGTCGTTCTAGTTCCTTTGCGGTCGGGCTTCTTGAGTGGATGACTTTGCGCTCTGCATCTCGCGGTCGATGGAGCTGGCCTCTGCTATTCAAGTTTAGGGGTTCAAGGATCGGTTTGATTCTCGGGATTGGGGTTTACCGTTGCACTGATATGGTTGGGGTATGTTGGGGTGCTTGATAATAAGTCAAGCAGCAGCGGCAGCAACATTATCGATCATATCAAACACCAGCTCTGATGTACTTGATGTTGACTTGGAGAAGCTACCTGCGAGCGAGTAGCGGCGACTTATTGCTCGCATACACAGAGTGCACATGTAAACAAGGTCGCATCGCTTTCAGCTCTTGTTTTGGAGCCGCCCACCAACTCAGGTCTGCATGTCTAAGGCACACGTAAGGATTTCCCCATCCCATTGTGCACCAGAAGCAGGCCAAACTATTTGGCAGGATAGTCGATGCTTCGCTAGCACTCAGTCATACAACAGTGCACGGCCAGTGATCTGACTCGTGGTCGCAACAGGCATTAAATGTCATAATGCCGAAATAGCATCATCTACTCCACACAGCAAATACTCCCCACAGGTGTGAGCACATATTACATACCGTGTGTGTAAGTTACTAGGTTATTGAAGTTCCCTAAAGCCCTAGACCCAGCTTAGGACCTGATAGATTAAGCACTCATTCGGGGGGCTGTGTATCGGACGAGCTTCCTACTTGTTTGTGAAACTCTTCTTCTTGCCGTACGAAAGCACTTGCTGCTGCATCGTCTTCATCAGCTCTTTCGCGGCTTCGGTGCTCGAGGTGATGCGGGCCTCCTCATAGGAAGGTTGTTGCAGTCCAAAACACAAGCTAAGGATCAAATCAAAGGGCTCCTCACCGGCATCCAAAGCAGACTGCAACTCTGCTCGCGAGGCAGTCAGCTGGGAGATGCAGTCGTTGAGGTCCTTGCGAAGGGCCGCCTGGATGTTCTTGCTCCTTGGCATGAAGCAGGATGGAAGGTTTGTTCGGGTGAGAGAAATTCACAAAACACTTAGGCATGCTTAGCCCGAAACAACCCAGAAAGCTCGGCAATTTTGTCGTTGGTCTCCCGGATGGCTTTGCTGAGGGCAGTGATGGCCTGGGAGAGCATTGGGCAGCATGCATTCAGTTCGGGGTTTGCATTCATGCACAGGCCTTGTTGGCTTCCTGTTTGATCTTTCTCACTCTCTCTTTCTCGGCCTGCTCCTCCTTGGTCTCCTCACCCTTGGCTTGCTTCTGATTCTTAGCCTTCTTCTTCTTCTTGTTCGCTTTGGCACCCTTTGCACCATTGCCCTTCTTCTTAGGCTTCTTACCTTTGGGCCCCTCGCAGGTCGAGCTGATTGTGGGAGGGAGAGAGAGAGAGCGGGAGGGAGAGAGAGAGAGAGAGAGAGTGAGTGAGAGAATGACACAGTGAGAGAGTCAGAGTGAGAATGAGAGTGAGCGAGTGACTGAGTGAAAGAACAACCGTGCTTTATCGGTCCTTGCCACCCTTCTTCGGCTTGTCTCCATCGTCCTCCTCGTCGTCATCGTCGTCGTCATCGTCGTCGTCGTCCGATGACGAGCCCTGCTCCTCCACTCGGAACATGTCGGTAATCTCGTCCTGATCTTCGTCGGTGTGCTCTTCATCAATCAGCACCAGGTATTGAATCAGTCCTACCCAGCCAGTGACAGATTATGCACAGCACAGACACATCACCAGACAGTAATCTACCCACTGGTCCTGGGCAGTCAGGATGCTCTCTGATTTCGGTCTTCTTCAGGTACTCGTCTGTCTGCTTGCGGACAATAATGGCATCGACTATGGCGGAATCCTGGAAGTGATTTTCCAGCTGAGGCCGTGTGAGCCATCTCCGGATGCCCCGGCGCCCAGTGCGATTGGTGCGCTTGATCGTTTTGTACACCACACTGTCCCTCCATTTGCCGGCCACCGACAAGAAGTCTTCGTACAAAGAAGACATCTTGTGCTTGCCTCAGAATCATCGCATACAAGCAAGGATAAATGCTAATGCCGGCACACATGCTGATGATTGCAAATGGGTTACAGTACTTCGACTGATCGAAAGCACTCTTGATCTCGCTTGGCGTGGAGCGGCCTTTGTATTTTAGAATCTTCAGAGCCCAAACCAGACAGCAAAGAGAGAGAGAGAGAGAGAGAGAGAGAGAGAGAGAGAGAGAGAGAGAGAGAGAGAGAGAGAGAGAAAGAGAGAGAGTGCATGTATGAGTGAAAAGAGAAACTGAGACCATGGCTGTGAATGCTTCTGTAGAATCTCATGTACAGCTTGTGGGCTTTCTTTTTCTTTTCGTTGGGATCCTCGTCTTCCTTCTCGTCGTTGTCTGTGGCCACGGGCTTGGGCTTTGCAGGGGACTCTGGCTTGGTCCGCTTCTTCGGGGACTTGGCTGGCTTGGGCTCAGGCATGGGGTCATTGCTCGACCGTGCTGTGCTGCCCTCGTTTGGCTCATCATCGCTCGGGCTCGGGGCAGCCCGTGCTTTCGCCTTGGCTTTGATTTTGGGGGTGGCTTTGGCCTTTGCTGCCTTCTTGCTTGCTGCTGCTTTCGGCTTTGCTTTTGCGGCAGACTTTACACTTGCTGATGCGGGCTTCGGGGCCGGGTTAGAGGCGGGCTCGTTGAGATCATCCTTCTGGGTTTCCTCCGCATCGTCAAACTCCTGCTCCAACTTCTTTTGGGCTGCTTCGGCACTGACCTTCCTTTCCATGGCTGTTTTCTTGTCAACTGTCTGTGGCCTTGTCAGAGCATGCTTCACTTTCTTGCTTGTGGAACCAGTCAGCTCATCGGTGTTGGCTCGCTTCAATTTCGGAGGGGGCGTCTCCACCTCTGTCTGCATGGAATCTGTACGAAGCGGTTGCTTGCCTGCCTTGCCACTTTGGAATGATCGCTTCCCTCTCGGGCTGATTTCCTCTGCTGCTGTGGCTGACTCTGTCTTTCGATTGGGGGACTCTTTCTTTCCAGCAGGGGACTCTTTCTTTCCAGCGGGTGACTCTTTCTTTCCAGCGGTGGGGGACTCTTTCTTTCCAGCGGCGGGGGACTCTTTCTTTCCAGGGGGCGACTCTTTCTTTCCAGGCGGCGACTCCTCGACATCGGGCCACGGGTTCTGAGCGTCCTCTTTGGAGCTGTCGTAGGACCTGGGCATAGAATTTGTGACATGACATATTAGTTGTTTTCGATTGCTAATATTCTACGTCAATCTCATCGAATGCAGAGGGCCCTACCATTGTCTCGATGTGCCGGATGACTTCCGGTCCACTCGGGCCTGCCTGTCGCGAGCCTTCTGCAAAATCTTCTCGACATCTATGCTGGCCGACATCGAGTCGATCAGCCCCAAAGCGCTACACAGCACGACCTACAAAAGGCAAGAAAGATCTGTAATGCGGCGGTCCACATCATGAGACGGCCAAACCAAGCTTGAAGACATCCCGTGGGTTTGCGCTTGAGTTGTTGCGGTTTCGCTTGTGTTTTGGGGGGCAAAAGTTTCACAGTTTTACGGGTGCTTATCACGGTTTTCACGGTGCTTTTCACGCTATTTTCACGCTGTTCTCACGCTGTTCTCACGGCTAGTGGTTTTCATGAACTCCAGCAAACACCCGAGGAAAGTTTTGCGATTGCGTCGAAACCCAACGCTTCTAGGAACATCACGCTGGAGACCTGCTGCCAGCTACCACCTTCCTGGCCACTTGGCTGACCTGTATGAGGACGGCTCCCTAGCTTCTACGGGAATCTGGCTTAATGGTTGGGGCTTCCAGTGGCTAGGAAGGCTGCACCCATAAGGCTCTACGGAAAGTCGAATGCGGGCACATATCGGCCTTCTTCGATCTCCTTCAAAAGAAACTCAAACACCGGAACCAGGTTAGCATGCTTCCAGTCGAAAGGAGGCCTCACGTTCGGAATTCTTGATCCAGCAGCCTCGCAAGAGGGTTTTTACTTTTGGGCTTAAGGCTCAGGTGGCTTTGGGCTTAGTGGTCTGGGTCCAGATCGTGCACGGCGAGATTCGCATGGGTCTTTGGATCTCTGGCTTCTAGGGCTTCGGGTGTTGAGGGTTCAGTGGTCTTTGTCTAAGATCACACACGACGGGGGTTCGGATAGGTGATTATAGATCTCAGGCATATAGGGCTTAGGGCTTCGGGGGTTTAAGGTTTAGTGGTCTTGCTCTAAAACCACACACGACGTAGGTTCGGATATGTGACTAGATCCAAGTCGTATGGGCTTAGGGCTTCGGGGGTTTAAGGTTTAGTGGTCTTGATGTAGACCATACAGGAATAGCACTCGGGATCACTCGGGTGGGGTTTTGAGATCTAGGGTTTCGGAGGCTTAGGGTTTAAGGGGTCTTGCTGTAGTTCACACAGGAAGAGGACTTGAACTGGCCTCGGCGAGATCCATCACAGCCGGCATCAGTCGGCACCGGTCGTTGTCCTCGGCATTCAGAATCAGAGACAAAAGGCTGTATAGGTTTTGTTCGTGAACTATTATTGCATTCTCACACAACATGTAATCCGAACAAGAAGCCATCATTTGCAGATGCTGGAAGGCAACCGCTCGTCCAAATTCAGCAGGATACGTTTGCGAACTTTTGAGCTTCGGCCCACCCGTCCTCATGATTAGCAAAGTTATGCTTAATTTATTGGCTCGATGCATTGCCAATATCCCATCATGTTCACGGAACATACTGCACATGCACAAATACTCACACGTCTCTCACTCGCTCTTTCTGCGTATCTGTCGCCCTGTCGATCTCTCTCTCTCTCTCTCTCTCTCTCTCTCTCTCCCTTGCCACTTCTGACTTCACTCTGACAGTCACTCACTCAATCCCTGGCCCTCTCACATAATAACCCCACACACACACACACACACACACACACACGCTAACACAGCTTCGTTTGCACCCTGTGCTCTATCAACCCACTGAGGGCGGGTCACGACTTTCTTGCCGGAGACATGCTGCTTGCGCTGAAACAGCCCCTTGGACGAAAGGCGAAGTGCCCTTCTCTTCTCTTTCGTGAGTTTCTCATACATCCGCAGCAACCATGGCCTCAGAATACAACAGCATTGATGTTGGTTTTCAGAGGACTACAAGTAGGGGAATCAGTTCGATTTGTAAGCCCCATACGGAGTACCAATCAGGACGGTCGGCTTGGGAGATCGGTGACCGTAGGTCGCCATCCAACTCAGTCTGCTGTAGGACAGCATTCCCGGTGCTATGTCCCTTGCATACTACATTAGCACACTATACTCCATGACTAAGATTCTGACAATCGCACAACTCGAATCGGTATGTAGTTGCGAAGGGTTTCCTTGATAAAGGCCAAATACGGGAACTCCAGAAATAGTGAGCTCGTCGGCTGCTCTATCCACCAGTGGACACATCTCATTGAAGCGAGTGTGACCAGGAGAATCGTCCGGGTCGCCAGCCTGGGCTTGGTCGTAGTGTTGCTTCATAACGGGTTGCATTTAATGAGGCACCCTCGTCTTGGCTTAGCACAGGAATGCAAACCTTCAAAGCTCCTAAGCCTGAAGCCTAAAACCCATTCCCAATCAAAGTGCTCTTCTCCCCCTTTACAACCAAAGTGCTCGTTGGCTTTCTTGATGTAAGCATATTTCGTTGTCCCAAATATACGATATGGTCGTCTGCCGGAGGTGGCCCTGTTGATGAACACCCAGCTCGCACAAGGAAGGCCACAACAGAGGAGGCCGGATGGCTTGATTCGTAGAATCTTGTGCATGGCTCGAAGTAGCCCAAACCTCGGACCCAACTCCAAGACTGCAGCATCGTTCAGCACTTGCAGACCTCCAGCTCTCTTGTAAGCAACCGACACAGTCAATAAATCGTCGTCAGCCGGGGAGCTCACATCGAAAAAATCCCTGCATCATCATGAAGTTTGGATGCTTGCACGACTTTGACCCGAGACACTTTCGCTGAGCTGAGACCCTAGCGACTTGTGGCCCTGTGCACCTCAAATACATAGGGCAAAGGTTGTAGCATTGCAGGCCCCTTCTCACTCCTCCTGAATTCAGCAAACCTCTAGATCTAGCTAGGTAAGAGCGAGACTGAAGGCTCTTTCCACCGACCGCTTGCCGGCGAAGAGATCCAGGCAAACCAAATCCTGGGTTTCATGGCAAACGGTTTATAAACTTAGATATTTAGCTCAACACCGAGGCTCAGGCACGAAGTAGGTTTTCCCCGGTTGCATTCTGCGCGATGTAGTCAGCCAGGTGTAGCCTGATGCGAACGAAATATAATGGATTTGGGGTTTTCAGGGTTCGGCTTCTAAGAGTTCAGGTAATGTTAACCGAGTAGCAGGATGCATGGGAAACCGACAAAAGCCAGAGCAAGTAGGGTGTCCCGTGAGAGGGCCACGTCATTCAGCATCCAAGAAGGCGGCATATCTTCAAGCCCAAGCACCTTTCTTGAACCAGTACACCTCACTGAAGGCCCAAGGCTCAAGGTGCAACATATTGCATATCAACGATCGGAGCCCATAGCACCACGAAGTATGCAGGAAGTGCTCGTTTGTTTTGACCCAGTGTGCACTGATCACACTGCTGAGAACTCCGGGAAAAGTCAGCCGAGGAAAGCCGGCTTTAAAATCGAAGCTAGATCTGACCAAGGTCGCAGTCGCGAGAGTCACTTCTTGTTTCCCCAGTTCGCCGCTAAGCAAGCTGCTTCCCACCTAGGTCCAAGGCTTGCTCACAATCCCAGCTGAAATCAGTAACGGCTGCAAAATGCCAAGCACCAGGCGCTTTGGCCAGCGAGTCGAACTTCGTCCAGCCCAGGCTGGCGCCGTACTGTCGATTGACCTGAGTGGGTCGTGGGTTCTGGTTGGGACAGGTACAGGTTGTAATCTTCAGAAGGCAGCTAGGTACCGGGCAATGAAGTCAGTTCTGTATTTCTGATTCACCATATCCAAGCGTTCTTGCTGTGCACCGTAGATGTAGAAGCACCCAGAATATGGGTTAAACCTGGTCGCTGCAGTGGGCTGAACACATTACCACAACACAACATATTGAGGGATGGGCCAAACTCCGATCTTGGCGACTTTCTTGTTCAAGCTGACGGTCCATGACCTTGAATTTGCGAAGTTTGAACTCTGGGATGGGATGAGGCTTAGTCACTGCATGCTGTTTTCACCCATCACTTAGGCTATCACTTCCTCATGTTGTCAGAAGACAGCACACCATGGTCCAGCTCCAAACGGGGGTCCTGCTTGCCCAGTGCTTCGAAACGAGGGCGCCAACGGTCTTTCACCTCCCGGCGTGAGTGCATGATGCTTTATTACATACTTCGTGCCCTTCCTTACCCAACCTTCGCGAGCTTGGCGGTCGGCTCTGGCGGTTCGGGGCTTTTCTCCGGGGCTTGTTCGGCCTCTTCCTCTTCTTCTTCCTGCTGCTCCTCTTCCTGTGGCTCATCATCCTCCTCTTCCTCCTTCGGGTTCTCCTTGGCTTTTTTGGCGGGTCTTTCGGCGATCTCCTCGCAGGCTGCTGGTCGTTTCATATTCTGTTTGCCTTTTCCTCTTCCTCTTCCTTTTCCTTTTCCTCCCCGCCCACGTCCTCTGCCTCCCGGTTTGCCTGGAGGGGTATCGGGGGATCGTGGTTCGGACTCCTCGTCTCCTTCCTTAGCTTTCTTTTGTCGAAGAGCTTTCCGTGTCTTGACTTGCGCCTAGCAGTGGATTGCAAACCGTGTCATGTTGTGGCACAGTGATCTCAGCAATCGGACAAGCCAGCCTCCAAAGCAAGGTTCGGATCATCATTCATGCTCTGTGTCAGCATCTTCTCAGCTTTGTCTTTCACTGCTTTTGGGAGGTTAGGGGCCGGAATCTTCTGATCTTTCTCATCCTTGAGAACAGCATACACACTAGAATGCAGTGCGATAGTGTAGAAAGCGATTTGAACCCCAAGCCGACGTCCTTGAATGCCCCTTTTGTTGCATCCTTCTCGGCGTCACTCTCCACAGAGTCCCCTGGCAAGCACTCATCTTCTTCCTTGATTTCTTCCTCCTCCCCTTCCTCTGCATTGCAGGTCCCAGCGGCATCTTCGCCGTCCTCCTGGCAGCGACAGCAGCAGAAGCAGCAGCACCACACAGCAGAGCATCTAGCTTCTGGCGGGTTGTGATTGGAGGATGGAATGTACCTTAAAGCCTTAGACTTCGGCCGTTGGCGTAGGCAAACACCGGGCTAGAAATATATGGTTTGTTATTTTGGGGTTTACGAGATCGATAGTCAGATATCGAATCGGTGACAAGTATTGAGTAATTTAATGAACGAACGAGGTTCGAACTTAAGAAATACAGCAGACCTTAATAATCCCGGCATTATTGAAGCCCACAGAATCTACTCCCAATATCAGGCCTAATGTCATATAACAAAGTATGTAATCTAATACCTTTGTCAATTCCATCGGATCCCCGAGATCCCAAGCATCAACCACCCCCACCCAAACCCTACATCGCTAAATCAATCTAAATCCCAAAGACCCCCACCAATCCACGTTCGCATGTTTGTCATTGTCGGCTGCCTTCATAGTCTTCATCTCCTGCACAAAACGTGGGGTGTGTCGCTGCTAAGCCAAATAATTTTCGCTAAACGAGGATGGGCTCCTTCTTTCGGGCTTGGATGACCCGCTTTAGGATCGCCAACTTCTCATGCGACGAGCCCTTCCTGTGTAGAGTGGACAGACAATCTCAATCTGGAATACACACACACACACACACACACACAAAGGGCAAGCCGAAGGTTCTCACGGTGGCCTTGTGTCCTTGTTGCGGCGAGTCCGAGCACATGCCCAGGAGGCGAAGGATCTTAGCACACCTGCTTCCTCCACTGCCCAGTCCTGGATCATTAAGGAGGAAGCGAAGAGTAGAAAACGTTCCAGACAACAGAATCTCTCGCCTCCTTGTCTTGCTTGTTCAAGCCCTGGTTCAACCTGAAGTGCTGTCCGGCCCATGCGATTGCTGCCTGCAAACGAAAAGTTGCTGATGAAAAAGCCTGCTATGGAATGCTAACGGGCACAGCCTCCACTTCCTTCTTGGTTGGCAGCTCTTCTGCGAACGAGCTGCAATAAGTGACAACAATGTTGAAATTGAACTCCGAACAGACCTGCTCAAGGTTGACCAAAACCCTTTCTCCTAAAATGAATTTGCTAGGATTCCCACCTGTTCCTCCGAAACGGCGGTGCTCGTGATGTCGAGGAAGCGGTACCGAAACTTCTCCTGCACCAAAGCTTGAATTAAAAAGACGGTTCTGTTGGGTTGATCAGGACCCGCACCTCCGAGGCTTCTTTGTTCTTTTTCATCCCCCGTTTGAGGGATTCTATCCTTTGGTTCACATAACCTGGCTTCAAAAGGTCGTCGAGCCACTCCTTGAGCAGCTCAACTCTACGTGGATTGGGCTTCGAGTCTGGCATTTTGCCAAACTTCCCAAAAGGTCCCCTCTCTTGAGACCGAAATCTCGCAGGAATATTTGAAGCACACAGCCACAAAAGCCAGCGGGGAGGAGCATTGGAGCCTTCAGAATCTCCTTGTTCAGCAAGACCTGGGCAGGGAAGGAGAGTGGGAAGGAATGTTCCAAAAATCGCGATTATCAAACTGAAAAGATCGGGGCAGCACGGTTCCGAAGGGCTTTGCTGCATCGAACCAGCGGCATGCCGGGTACCTCACCAGTAGGTTTGTTGATAATTTTGTCCGTTGACAAACCAGAGAAGCTGCTGAGATGCACACCAGGCAAATCGCCCAAAGGACAGAAGCAGCAAGCATGAGTCACCGGGCTGCCACAAATCTAGTCCATTCTTTTGTTTTGTTCCTGGGTGCCGCTGCCCCCGAAGCAAACCACTATGGTTTCCTTATGGTTCCGTGATTGTGTTTGCCGGACACTTCTTGACCTGAATGAAACCTTGATCCACGGCGAACGGCGTCAAGTGAACTGCATCGATTACACCCCAAATCGTGAAGCCCTCGTTTAACGGGGGCGCTTCAAGAGACCCAGTTTCCGGGGTGCGCGGAAGTTAAGGGTATATATATGTATAACTATATATATATACTGTATGTGTATATATATATATATATGGGAGGCTGAATATTCAGTGTTCGCTTTTGTTCCTTATTGTTCATGATGTGATAGTGGTGACTTGTATTGTGATCGCTGCCCTCTTTATTCTTGTCACAGTTGCTATTATGATTATCAGCATCAGGAGTGTTGCGAATGCTTCTTCCATATGATTGGGTAGTAGTATCATCTTACTTGTCCTTACCTACAATCACCCGTACAGGTGTGTCTACTATTGCGCTTACTCCTCATTATCATTTATTAACTAACTAAACCCGTATGTAGAAGGCCGATATTTGCTTGATTTCTTGGATACTTTTAAAGCTACTTGTTATTGGCTATGAATATTCATGCTTACCCATGTGTTTATTTCTATTCGTTCCTATCTGTTAGGGGCTTGTATCTTGTGTTTGCTGAGTGGTACTGCCGGCTTGAGTTCAATAACATGTACCAGCATTTGCCATTGTTCATAGTTGCTTCGAGTGGTTGGATATTGCTTGTAGCTATTTTGTTTATTTCGGCCTGCCTATCTGTTTCATTTGTTTGCTGCATATTACTGCTCAATGTTGGGTATCGAAATCTTTAGTAGTGTGAACGGTAATATGGATGATACCGATTGCGGGTAATATTAGGATGTATGGCTTGTAACGATTTACCATTACTTGGAGCTAAATGTCATTATGTTGAATGATTGTTAGTACTGGTAATAGCATCACTTGCGAGTCTTTATGAGTATTCATTGTATTCATATGTATTGCCATTCAGTGCTATTTACAGCTCTTTACTATTCACGAGTATGATTACTGTTGTTACAACATAACATTTCAAAAGAAAAACCTAGTCTGACTATCAGGGCCCGTTTATTATGATCCCAGTCTCTTTGGGAAAAATGTGCCAACTATCCCCGAGGGTTAAGGGCACTTAGGGTTCAGGGTGCTAGGCGGTTAGGGTTTGGAGGGTTTCGGGTCTAGAGGGTTTATAGGGCTTAAGGCTTAAAGGTTCGGGGTTTAGGATTCAGATGGCTAAGATTTGGGATTCAGGGTTCATACTGTTGATGGACAAAATCCTGCATTACCCATTATAAGGAATATACCGTAGTTCCCATAGTTTAGAGTCCTTAGGGTCATGCAGGATTTACCTCCTTAAACCCTAAAGATCCCTTAAAAGAGCCCCTTAATTAAAGGTACCCCTATAGATCCCTTTAAAGGAACCCCAAGATTTTGTCCATCAACAGTAGGAAAGCCCCAAACCTGCCAGGGCGAATCCTCCATGTAACCGGAGTGCTCAGCTCGGGGTCTCCACTTGGAGGGTCTTTAGGGGACTTAGTAACGCTAAGGGGTTCCTTCGGGCCCCTTTAAAGGGATCTATAGGGATTCTGTAAGGGTTTAGGGTGTAGGGGGCTTAGTAACTGGTTATTTGAGGGACTTATAAGTACCATAACCCCAATTAGGGTCCCTTTTAGGGTACTTATAAGTCTACCTACTAACTACTTACTAAGTCCCCCGACCCCCCAAGCAGGGTGTGAGAATGGTGCGGGCGCATAAGCGCTGCACCTTTTTACAGTGTAGGAATCCGAGGCTGCAGGGCGATGTTCAGAAAAAGCAGGGTTGTAGCGCCCAGAAACTACACTAGG